GGAAGCAATCTAACAGTTATCAAAAGCTTGCTCGAATAGAAAGCTAAGAAAGATTAAGCTGCTTTCGTCAAGGCTTTAAGAGCCGAGTTTCGTAAAAACAATACTTAGCAGATCAAAGACTCGATCGCTTTCTTGCGGGAATTTGCTATGCAAGAACGGGATGTCAATGACTTGAAAAACTACTATCGCACCTTTTCTCGAGTCTCCGAAAGGCTTACTTTAATGCACCTTTTAAGCAAGACCGAACAAGGCCGCTTGTTCTTTTTCGGATTGCTCGTCGGAATCCGAAACAAGACGATTAAGCATTGTAAGGTCGACGAACTCGACCTAGACTCTTATGCCGCTTTCGATGACTTCGCCGCATTCGCCTTTAAGACCGACTAGAGCGCTAAGACTATCGAAGCTATAAATCGAGAAAAGTCTCTTTTAGCCAACTTCACTAAAGATATTCGGACCTTAGTCAAAGAACATACGGAGCTAGCTAGCGTTCTTGAGTCTGCTAAGAAAGCTTTAGTAGTAATACCGTTCACTCGTGAACCACGGTTCACGAGTGAAAAAAAAGAAATTAATAAGGTAGGTTCTATGATTAAGAAGTTTTCTAACTTGCAGATTAATGCGATCTATAGTCGAATTAATTACTTCGAAGACCAAGTCGCTAACTCAACTTCCCGACGCCTTATTCAATCCTAACTTCAAGTTCGATTCGAAGACCGCGACGAAGCCTTTACTAAATATACCGCTTAAGATGCTCGAAGTAAAGTCAGCCTCGAAAGAGGAGTTCAGATTGCTGCTATCGGCTACGGACTATAAAGACGAAGAAAAAGAAGAAGTAGAGGATACAGGAGCCAGATGCAAGATTGTAGCTTCTGCGAGAACTCCGAAGACACAACTCAAGCTCTTTATCAATACTAGGATGAGTGTAAGGCTTTTAAGGACATGGTTAATAAAAGATGTATTCATATTAATAATTACGGACGCTTTTGCTTAAGACTTAAGAGGATCGGTGCTTTTATTATCCAGAAGAAGCAAGGAAAGACTTGGTTTAGATTTATCGTGCTAGACGTTCGTAAGACGAAATACGACAACATCTTGAAGAATCGGCTTACTAGCGGACATAAGACTTATGGACACTTATTTTCTTATCAACAACCAATCTAATAGCCAGCTTAGTATCAGCCCGATCAAAATGTTCAGCAACTAACCAACCAGCCAAAAGAGCCTACTACTATTCTTAAAAGACTAGTCGATATTAAAAATATCAATGCTATAAGATGGATCAACACGCTTAGCTACTCATCTAGCATAGAAGTTGCTTCGGTCGAGATCAACGCCGCCGCAAAAGACAAAGCTAAGAAGCCTTTCTAGCTCTCGAAAAGATCCAAGCTTATTAAGATCAAGAAGAATGTCCGACAATAAAGGGAGAAGAACTACGGCACTTTTAAAGCCCGTGCTTCTTAAGAATCGAGTACTGCTGTAAAGATAGACTCGGAAGATAGGCTGTTCGATAGTTTAATTAAGGAAGAGTCTTTTGGACCTTCTAGATTAATTAAAGCCGACGAGGCTATAAAGGATGTGGAAAGAGAGGTTGAGATCACTTAACGAGTATTAAAAAGAAGAAAGAAGAAGACTTATAAACGAGAGAAGTTCATTGACCTTTACGTTACTACTAAAGCTTAAGAAAAAGTAATAGCGGCGATTATGAAATCGAAAATCGAGGTTTAAATTAAAGACTTGTTCGAACTCAGCTTTCGCTTCGACAAGCTATTAAGCTACTACATTTTAGTGGTCTTCGATGCTAAAGAAAACGTAAAAGTCCTTTAAGGTAAGCCTATTCTTATAAACGCTTTAACTGTTAGACGTCTAAGTCGGAATGAAGAAGGCAAGCTAAACCTTTTAGCGACGCAAATTCGCAAACAACCTATCGCTCGCAATTGCTTCGAAGTGGCGATAAAAACCTTAAAGGTTTTCATTAATATCGACGGTATAATTAAAAGCAGATCCTTTTTCAACAGTAGATTTAAAGTCAACGTAATAAATAAAAAAGTAGCTAAGATAACTAAACTACTTATTATAACGGATCGAGTCTTGGTCTATACCACCGTATCTAAGGATCTTTACAACTTCGATAAGTAGATAAACGACGTCGAAGTCATTATCGGCGGAATCACTAACTACGCCGATTTCTTTATTATTAATAATAACAGTCACGAGGTCATCTTAAGCATGCTTTTCTTCTTAGAATCCCAACTCTCTTTTTCTTACTTCGATAATAGCACGATAAAAGCCTCTTTTTAAAACCACGATCGATCTACTTAAGGCTAGATTACTATTGCAAAAGACAAGTCGGATTTGGTCGAAGACTCGGGAAACTAATTGCTAGCATGCAAGCTAAGATGGATGCTAAGCTAGAAAAAAGCTTAAAAGGAAATTCCGCCCGTGAATTATAGTTTACGAATAGATCGGCATAAAAACAATAAAATCATAAAAAAACAATTCAACTTAATATTAAGCAAAGCTTATTAAAATCAAAAACACTAAAAATATTTGCAATCAAACTCGATAAATCAGAAAATTTTATGTTTATTATCGATAACGACAAGGACCTTTTAAGAAAAAATATAATAGAAGTTAATACGATGTACAAAAAGAAGGCGGAGAAGGTCAAACCGGTGGATTTAAGAGTGTCGGATGGAAAGATACTTAAAAGGATCGACGATTAGTTCGAGCAAGATAAGAAGGCGAGACCTTTTAAGCTTAGAAAACCTTTTTCGGAATACTTTATTAGCAAGTTTTCAGACTTAAAAGTTGGATCAAGATTAACGAAGGAACGATTCGAAGCACTTACGATTAGCTTTCAAGTTACCTTAAAAGAGAAAGAGCTGCTTTACTAATGCTTTTTGAATCGAAAAGAAGCGATAGCTTAAGATTTTACTTATCTTGGCCAGGTCCGGAAAGAAGTCATGCCGCCTTAAAAGATCAAGACGGTGCTTTACGAAGCTTAATAAGAAAAAACGTTTACGGTACCGAAAGCTTTGCAAAAGATAATCATCTTTATGCTAAAAAAACGATTAAAGCAAAGGGTCTTCGAATTATGCTAAGGCCCTTACCGAAACAAGTAGTTCATTATAGCGAAGAAAAAGAAAAGAAAATACAAGCTAATCACTGCTGTAATTAAGATAAACCGTATAACGGTTAAGGACGCTAATATTGCTTCGAACGTAGACTAATTCTCGAACGAATTTGCCGGTCTTACGATAGCTACACTCTTAGATTTCTTTTTTAAATACGATCAATTCTTCTTCGACGTTAAATCTAAAGACATAACAGCTATTTAAACGCTTATCGGACTGCTTCGGATGACCCGAATACTTATAAAAGCTATTAATTCGATCGCTTAATTCGTTAAGGTTATCTACAAGATCCTTATAGACTGCATTCTTAACGTCTGCTTGCTTTATATAAATGACGTAAGAGTTAAAAGATCGCGATCCTTTTACAATTACGAAGAAGTTTTGCTCGGAATTCGACGATTCGTTTTAAAGCACATTTAAAATATCGATAAAGTGCTCGTAAGGTTTAAAAGAGCTAAGACGACCGTCGGAACGAAATCTTAATACTGCATGCTTAGCTTCAACATCGTTAGATTCGTCACAAATAGCGAAAGACGCTACTTTTAAACCGCTAAAATTAAAAAGATACTAGAATAAATTAAGTGCGAAGACGTATCGGAAGCCCGAGCCTTCATTAGCATCGTAGTTTACTATAGAATCTAGATCAAAAACTTCTTTACGATTGCTGCCTTAATCTACGCGATAATAAGAAAAAGGGTCGAATTCGAGTGGTTAAAGCCTTAGCAAGAAGCGATAAAGCTGTTCAAAGAAGCCTTGCTCTTTGCCTCCGCTCTTATTAAAATCGATTATAGCAAAGACGGAAGGAAAATTTACTTAACGGTAGACGCTAATCTTAAAAGATAAAGAGTAATATTGCAGCAAAAAGATTCCGACAAAAAGCGACATCTTGCTAAGTTCGAGAGTGGTCTTTAAAACTTTGCGGAGAGCAAGTACGACGCGACCAAGCGAGAATGCCGCGGTGCTTTAAAAGCTATGAAAAAGATGAAGAGCGAATTATACGAAGTTTACTTCATCTTAAAAACCGACGCCAAGGTACTAGTTGATCAACTCAACGGATTAGCAAGCGACTTGCTTAAAGCTTTCGTTACGAACTAGATTGCGTAAATAAGATTAATAGACTTTAAAGTCAAGCATATCCTTAAGACTAAAAACACAGCGGCGGACGGTCTTTCTAAGAAAAGAAAGGAGCATCTTTTAAACATTAAAGAGAAAGAGGAAGAAGATATTAACGATTAAGTCACCAACGAGCTAAGCATTGTTTTAGTATTCTCGGTTAAACGACTCGTGAATTATAGTTCACGGGTCAAAAAGAGAGTTTTGAAGCACGATTACTCGCCCGACTCCGAGCTTATTGCTCAATTCCTTACCACTTTCAAACGCCCTTTTTCGATTAAGACTTACGACTTCTAGAAATTCAAGAACAAAGCACTCAACTACTTGGTCAAAGATAGTTACTTTTACAAGCGAGCAAACAATTCTTACTCGATCAGGCTGGTTGTCGACGGAACTTAAAAACGCTACACTACTATTTCCGACGCCCACCGAGAATCCGGATATAAAAGAGCTAAGTCAACTTACTACCGCACGTCAAAACTCTTCTTTTAGAATAAATGCTACGAAGACTGCAAGGCCTTCGTCTAGAGCTATAAGCCTTGTTAAAAGCGTAAAGCTGGACGAACAAAAAACCTTTTGTACTCGATTTAGCTTACTTAAATGTGGTCAAAAGTCAGCTTAAACGTATCACGAGTTCTTATTACCGACAAAGGAATAACCTGCTTCGTACTAGCTAAAAAAGATTTATCTAGATAGCCGGAAGGGCGGCTACTTCGATCGGCTAACGCCGAATCTATTATTAAGTTCTTTTAAAAGGATATCGTTTGCCGCTATAAATTATTCGAAAGATTGATTATCGATAAAGGACTTAAGAACAAAGTAATTGCTAAAGCCTTCGCTATTAAGTACGAGATCAAAAGGGTCTAAATCTTAAGCTACAATTCAAAGGCTAATAGAATGATTGAGAAAGGCTATAAGGACATCTTGGATAGCTTATCGAAAGTCATAAACGAAGGATTCAAAGATTAAGTTCGCAAATTCAATAAGATGCTCTTTGCGGTCCGGACATCGATATACGCACTTACTAAAGTCACCCTCTTCTTCTTGAACTACGGACGAGAAGCTAAGCTACCTTTAGAGTCACGATAGCCAATCTAGAGATTACTACCTTAGCAAGAGGTTCGATTTCGCGCTGACCTGCTTGCTATAAAGTTCAAACAATTAGAACTTCGAGATAAAGATATCGACGAGATTATCTTGAAGAAAAAACGCTATCGACTTGCCGCTAAAGCTACTTAAGAACAAGTCAAGGTCTTGAAGTCGGAACTTATTAAAGAAAAAGACTTAGTACTGCTTTACGATATCAAACGCAGCATCGACATGTCCGCGAACACTAAGCTAGACTACAGATAGCTAAGACCTTATATCGTCTTTAAAGCTTACGATAAAGGATATTACAAGCTTTAAGAAACCGATAGGACTAAGCTCAAAGGCACTTTTGCAGCTAACCGCTTTAAGCGATTCTATCGCCGCAACCAAACCCTCTTTCCTTTTAATAAAGACGACGAAAAAGAAAAAGAAGAAAATTCGAGCTTCTTAAACGACTCGGACTTTAACGAATACGAGCCTTCCGACGACGGCAAAAGTGAACTACTTAACTTAAAAGTGACCCTTAGACCTAAATCTATCAACTTCCAAATCATTCTTTTAACACTTTCGAAGAAACAAAAACTAGCTTACAAAATTGTTTCTTAGTCTATTTCTTTTACTTTGTTTTTTCTTACTTTCTTATCTTTTCTTTGTTCTATACTTATTTTATAAAAGGACGTGCTCTTAATGATCACTCTCTTTGTTATTAATAAAGAAAGGTATTTCTTACGTTTGTTTTCTTACTTTTAGACCTGCTTTTCATTGTATTTTCTGTTCTTTTTTTGTTCTTTTCACTTTATTAGCTATTCACTTGTCTTATACAGATTGTTCTTATTGTTTGATTGTTTTTCATTTGTTTGAGCTTATACGGCTATTTCTTATTTCTTATTTAAGATTGTTCTTTTGTTTTAAGCGTGCTTAACCACGTGTATTCGAAGGTGAACTGCTATTAGAAAGAGTAGGTCTTTTCCACAAATATACTTATATAAAAAAGCTCCTTCTTCTTTCTTTTTAACATTTTCTCTTTTTATACAACAATAATTATAATAATACTATCACTACCTTTTCTTTACAACTATATAATACTACATTAACACTAACGACTTTAATCATCACTTAATCGATCACCACTACTACTAGCTTTATTCCGCTATCTTATGTTTGGCCCGTAAACCGTGATTCACGAGTCAAATATGCCTTTCAAGTCAGCCGCCGCTAAAGGAAAGGCTTTTGTCCGGGATGCACTTTCTAGCCTACTAATAAGCGAGGAGCAAGCTGCTTTAGCCCGACAATCGAGTTTCGAACTGAAGTTCGAAGGACGAGTCATTAAGACCTTCGATGAGTTCTTCTAGACCTACCGCTAAATAAGCAACTCTAGTCAATTAACTATACTTAAAGTAGCAACCTCCGATTTTAACAACAGATTAAGTAAAGAAGACGACCTGATCTTGCAATACGACCAGTTCTTGCGGGCCGAATACGCAAGAAAGAATATAGACGCTAAAGACTTCTTTTCGGCTTACAACTAATTTACTATTAAAGTTACCGCTATCTACTCTTTACGCAACAAGAACGCCGAAAGACATAGACGAATCAAAAGAGCTTTCGACGGCGCTCGAGGCTAATTGTTGTATAACGACCACTTTAAAGCTGTATACACCTTAGTCCGTAGCGCTCGCTAACTGGGCGTCATTCTAGAGAACTGCACCTTTAACGCTTACGCTATCTAAGTTATCAATTACCATATTGTTGCTTACGTCGCCTTCTAGAAGATTACAGCTAATGTAGCCCGAGGACGCAAGTTCACTAAGCTTAATGCTACGGTAGTCAACCTCACTTGCTAGACCGTAGAAGACAAGAACAACACTAAGTAGAAAGATAAGATCGCTATTCTTAACGAAGGACTTTTAAAAAAGCTAAGACTAAAGGTCTTATCGTGTAGCTTGTTGATTTTGGCTCTCGACAACATAAAAGGCGAATACGACGAGCTTAAAGAACGTGTAGAGTTTGCCGACGAGAATCAGACCTAGAGTTTCGTCTTGCAAAAGGAACCCGAATCCGGAACTCTACTCGTGAACTATAGTTCACGAGTAGAAGATGACTCAGCAATCGAAGCAAGACTAAGTCAACTTCTTGCTCTTAATACCTTTTTGCCCAGATCACTTATTGCGCGCCTTTCGCTATCACTAGCCTTGTCTTAAAGATCGACGTCATCCTTTGCTAATAAAGCTTCGAACGCTAAACTGATTGCTTCGATTATATCCACTTTACGCAAGTCCATCGACGCGAGCTCTTTTGCAGCTTTTAAACCTAAAGTGCAACGCGACTTTCTCGAGAACCAGCTGCTATTAACACCACTCGTTAAAGAAAGAGACAGCTTCGAGTACGAACTAGCTAAAGCTGTGTCGAACCGCTGCTTAAGACTCGTCGAGATTAAGGACCTTATAAGTATAAACGTAGCCCTTATCAACTTTTGCTAAGACTTTTACTAATCAGCCCTCGACCGCTTAAACCTAGACGAGAACATCGATAATGCTTTTTAAGTTGCCGCGGAATCAACTAAGAAGGCTGTTAACTAGATCCGCAAGCTTTTAAAAGACGAATTTTTTAACAACGCGATCTTACGACTCTTCGACCGTCGTAGCTAAGTGAAAGTAAGTAAAGAAAAAAGCAAGGTAATAAACTACTTCTTGCTATCCGAGATCTTTAATTTAAGCCTTAATAACGACGATTGCGATTGCACAAAGGTCTCTTAAGAGGTAAAGAACGTATTAGAATTTAAAGATAGATTCAAAGAACTCTTTAACTTAAACGTCTAAACGAAGCTCCGCTTTAGCCGCAAAGTCTTACCGTCCGCTACCGACTTATTAAAAGGAGTTTTTTGCGAAGTCTACACCTTCGAATACGCTAAATACCTTAAGCTAGCTACGAAGGGCCTTACAACAACGATAATCCGTTCTAACTTATATCGATTTATCGAAGCCTTCCAAACCAACGCCCTTAACAACTTCATGCTTCACTCGAGCAACTAATCGATGTTCGCTACTAAGACCAAAGGTAGTACTTTAGTTAAGAGAATATCTAGCTTAAGCTCTTCTAAGTTCAAAGCTAAGCCGATATCCCTTAACAAGCTGAACTAGAGCACTAACTTAATAGGCACCGCTTAGAAGAACAGCCTCTTCAACACCTTAGATGCGGGTAGCTATACGAAAGTTTAGCTTATGTTAAGAGCTTCTTTCTTAAACAACAAGCACGGCAACCAAACCTTCTTTACTATCATGAACAAAAAGATCCAGATATACTTCCACCACTTTCGAACTAATGACTTAAAAAGAGCCCCGACTAATGCACTCTTCAATATAGTGCACTCTTTGACTTAACAAGTCCTTCGAAGCTATTATAAGCTGTACTTTGCCGCTTTACTTAATCGCCGAAACGGAAACTACAAGCTTATTACTTACTTTAAACCTTTTTAGCTCTTTAAATGCAACAATAATGCTCGAGTGATTGCGACCAAACACGACGCTGATATTAAACGACCCGTAAACCGTAGTTCACGAATAGAAGACAGAGTTTTAAACTACTACTTAATGCTTTACGGCGTAAAGAATCAAATCGGAAGCTTAAGTATTTGGCTTAAAAGCCACACTTACGACACTACCTTTAGAAAGACCGCTAAATAAAAAGCTTTTAGACTTAAGTCGAAGACTTTAGATGCTTTTAAGAACATTGCGCCACGCTAACCCTTTGCTATAGTCATAGATCTCGCTACCTTTATGTCCGTTATTACGAAACAAAGTGTTTTCTTAGACATAGACGCTTTCTAGAATTCCTTTTGCGGATAAGCTATCTTTTCTAACAACTACACCGCTTTAATAAACGATAGCACTTTAAAAAATAGAGTCAGCTTTGCAAAGCACGCTTGCACTATCGTCTTGAGACGCATGCCGCCAACCCTTTAGTAAGGAGTCATTAATGAATCAAGCTAGCCCTTCGCCGCCACAATCCAACTAGACTACGTCAGTTTCGTATTAAAAGCTTTGATCGGAAGAATAGATTGGAACGAGCCTCGAGTAGTAGAGGAATTGACCGCTATCTTTGCTATGTCTCGGACTTAGTTCTAAGAACACTTTATTAAGCATAAGAAAAAGTTGTTTTCGGCATTTAAAAAAGGATTTGCTGTTGTCTTAAACGCTAAAGCCAAGACTTACGGAGTCAAGTCCTTTTCCAAAGGCAAGAGCCGCCGAGCTGACGACCTTATAAACGCCGATAAGTTAAAGGATTTTAAAGAAAGCTTGCGACCGATTGAGTTGTCTTTTGACGACTTTGATTCAAGTGTAAAGATCACTCTAGAAAGTGCGAATTCTATCCGTGAACCACGGTTCACGGGCCAAATCGACGAATCTAAAGCATCATCTTCTCAGCCGGAATCCTTAGACCGCGCTTTCGATAAAGCTATAAAAGCCTTAAGTAACTTGCCCGAAGACGAGGACGACCCAACTAATAGCTCCGGACCTTATTTTAACCTCGCTGACCCTTCGTCGGCTAAGTTCACACCTATCAACGATGCGACCAACAAGCGCAAGAACGACACGCGCTCTCTCACCTTTAAAGATGCTGCTGCTAGCACGTTATCGTCTAATGCTGGCCCTGTTAAGAGAAGAAGACCCTCTCAGCTTGAGGAGAACGAAGGAGTTAAGGACGTAAGCACGGAAGGAGACCATAAGGAAGCTGCCGAAGTGTAGTTTAGTAGTTTAGATGTTTAGAGTTTAGAGACAAGATACTCCCCCCTTTTTTTTGTACACTAGATTTTTTCTTTCTTTTACACCCCCTTTTTTCTTCTTTGCTTAATGGTAGGCGAAGGCGCCTACCTATTCTATAAAGGGACGGATGTAAACACCTTGCTTGATAGGGTACCTGCTATGGCCATTAAGGCTACATTAGACGGACCCATCTTCTATAAGAGGGCACACATCTCCTAGCTAGAACAATCAACGAGCTTTCCACCCACCTTTTCTGACATCTCTTTTGTGAGACCATGAGGTCCAGCCTCAGAGCCAGGCTTCTATACAGCACATCTTTTTGGGTGCTTCTACACCATGTGAATTGTAGCTTGATGTAATTACCCGCTTCATAAGCAAATGCCTTTAAACTCCGTTGTATTAAAGTGGAGCTCAAAAACCGTACCGTCATGATCGTACGGTTATTATAAATTGAAACAAATCCTGCTCGTTAAACCATTCTCGATCTGGATTTTTAGGCCGTTTTCATTCAGTTGCCGTTTCTTGTCTGGTAAAAGAGGATCGGCGGATCGATACGATGCTTTCCCCAGCTGCCTTACAGGTACTTATGCGGCCAGCACATGTGTATACGTGCGCACATCTGTCTCTATATGGAGAATTATCTTCAAAGATAAATTCAGATATACAGGTAGCGTCTAGCGAACCCTGCAGAGCGTTGCCATTTCTCCTCCCGTTGCCGAGATCGACGTATGCATATGCAAGAAGTCCGTATATACTTACAGCTATTTAGAGCTAGAACTACAATCTACAACTAGGGTATGTTGACCGCATGAGTACGAGCAACCCCCGCATAACATTACAAATTTACCCCATCCGCCAAGGCCTCGGCCTACGAAGTGGTATTACAGAGTAGGGTTTTCTGATCTGGTCTGGGCTGACCTGCAGCCAAATACAACTACCATTTCGAGTTTGGAATTTCCAATCTAAAGGGCAAAGAAAGAAAGCCATCAATCAATCAGATCGACCACCCACGATGGCTCAGGTTCAAGAAACAGAAACGGGCGTCTTTATGCCGGCAGATCACGCAGAACCAGCAGTCAACACCATCTGCTCCCGAGCTTTCAAGCGAGGCGAGCATCGCATCCGCCACGAACGGAGACATACCCAAGAAAAGCCGTACCTGTGTAAACTCTGCGATAATCGCTACGTGCAAAAGTAAGTAGGAAACTGTGTCGAGTCGCATCCCGCCGAGATCCGCGGACTGAAGCCAGAGCAAACATACAGAGATCTTCTGCTACGGCACCAGCGACTTTTACATGGAGCAGCGACATCAGGATCCGGGGCAAAGAAAGCTGCAGCTGTAGCCGCAGCCGCAGCCGCAGATATCGATACAGCATGTAAGTAGCACTTGCAATTCAACCTTCTTTCGAGACCAGACTAATCAACTACTCTCCTTCATATTAGCGATGCACTCTCTGCAGTCATCTTCTGCGACACAAGTCCTGGTCGAGAGCCACGAATCCTTGGATTCTGTTCACGCGACCTTAACCGACGATACTTCCTCGAGAGATTCATCGGGCATGTTACAGCATCATGTTGAACACTTGAAGCTATTCAATAGCGTCGAGGCCGAATCGCCGCTATTCACAGATCCGTTCTTCGAGTGGCCATCCCAACAAATGGCCGATCTTGCTCTTCCGCATCTGAGCAGTCACTTCGTCGATAGCCTCTTGCCCCTAAAAGAATATTCAAATCTATTGACTGGTGGTCACGATCCCCTGATAGGGAGCGCTCCTGACATTGCTTCAGTCCGCCCAAATCAACAGCACTTCGCTCAGCAGAGCAACCCAGTCTCTCTCAGAGTCAATCTTTCAGTTTTTGAAACGAACAGGCATCAGAAACCCATCTTTCCAATCCGCTTTACCAACGAGACACGAGAAAGAATTCTCAGGGGTGTTTCAGCCCAAGTGTCCCCAGAGCTCTTGGAGTTGCTGGCTTCTGTTGCCACAATTCTGTACGAACGGTGCCTTCAACGATATTTCGCGACCTTCAATACACATGCGCCACTTTTCCACCTGCCATCCCTAGACGTCGATAAAGTCCCAGCAGCACAGCTACTTTCCATGTGTGCCACAGGCGCATTATATCGAATGGAAAGGAAGGTAGCAGCCATCTTCTACAACGCTGCGCGCCAGAGCCTGGAGAACATAAGCTCAGAGAGCTCTGATCAGAAAGATCCCCTACACGAACTTCACCTGCAGGATTGGATCAAGCCGACCAGCACCGAGAGTGAGTCGCCGATACCCCCGCTGTGGATAAGTCAGTCGAGACTACTCCTCACTTTGTTCGAGACTTTCAGTGGGGATTCAAAGTTGTCGTCGATGGCCATTTACCGGCTCGGCTTCTTCGTTTGGGTGGGCTTCTCTGCACTATTGCGACTTCTTTACTGACAATCTCATCAGGACTTTCGTGCTCGCCTGAATTGGCTGCAATCTCACACAGCAGGACAGGAGGAGTTATCGTGGGAGACATGGGTAGAAAGAGAATCTGTCAAGAGGTACAGTAATCGAATTTTCTCTCACACATGCCCCATTATCTAAAGCCCGAACTCAGGCTTTTGTACGGCTACATGTATCTTTGCAACCTGATATCGATGCTCTTAGACATTGCATCGGGTTTCTCCATGTTGACGGATGGCACCCTCGAGATGCCCTGTCATCACTCACTCTGGGACTCCGCAAATGCAGATTCATGGCGAGAGAACGCAAAAGCATGGGGACTTGGCTCGCCCCTGCGATTGAAAGACGCCGTAACGCGCCTACTAGACGAGACTACCCCACATGAAATTCCAGCCGAGTATTGGGAGTGGGATCCATATTCATGCCACGTCGCCGTGAACGCCGTGTCGATCTACATATCGCACATGACCCAGGGACTGTATTTCCTCGACGAGAGTTCGCAACACGCCGCGGCCGATCGCTACCGGGTGTCGGACATCACCAGCCAGATGGTGACGGCGATCACCAAGTGCTTGCACCTGATCAAAGGCGCGAGGGCCAGAGCAGACGAGTCGCACGCCTGGGAGGATACCGAGGGGCCGCTGCTCTTCAACTCCCTGGCCATATTGCGCGTGAGCTACTGCCGGATCATGACTCGAGCGGAATCCGCCGCGCGAGGAATGCTTTTCCGGATGAACGAAGCCGAGATGGATCACGCGATCCGGCACTTCTTGTCCGAAACTATGGAGTGGACGCAGTCCCTGAACCGAGCGGTCTCGGTGGCCTTGGAAGGTATCCTGATACCGACGAGGATTGGAAGCGGCCTGGTGAGAAAGACGGCGGCCTTCGCGTGGGCTATCGAGCATGCATTAGCAGGCTGGGACGCCAGTAAGTTCTCCTACAGCTCATCTGAGAAAAGCGCAAATTGACTAACTACGAGGCCTGCCAGTCCTTCTTCTATCGAAGTGGCTCCATGCCAAGGAGTCGCTCCAGCGTCGAGGTATTACTCTCGACAAGGTCGACATGCAGATCATACAGCGGGTACGAGACATGCTCGCTGAAGACAGCGAGCCGAATGATTCGTCTGTGTCGCTCGCGGCTGCGTTGACCCGATCTTGGGCGGGCTTTTATGATGATACGTGGGTGTGGGGGGTCACGCCCAAAATGGGCAGGATTTTGCGACAGTTGGCGAACCATTATGAAGATGCAGCGGCCTGAGAGGGGATACCTTCAGATTATCGAAACTGAGAATCCAGTCGGAAACGATGGTATGAATCTTGTATTCATTTGTACAGCTAGGCAGCGCGGAGAAGTCTGCCCAGCAGCGGTGGCTGACGCATAACATTCTGTTAAAAGAAGAATGAATATAGGTATGTATTTAAAGCAGACTATACTTCTGCTGGTAAAATACTGTAGCAGAGATGCCCAAACCCTTGAACAGTACTCAAGGTACAAATCAAAGCGATGAGATTCACAGGAATACATGGGATAGGTGCTACGAAAGCGATCGCCAGTAGCCTCGCTACTTTGAGCAGCTTTTGGGCCTATTGCCTCTGGGCAACAAGACTTTACTAAATTATGAAAATTTCTAGTAGAATTTACGATCTTAAAGAAAAACTCGCTGCCCGACTTAGCTCGAGATGCGTATAGCTTATCTTTTGCTTTGTTGATGTCTTTGAAAACCGTGGTTGGACTGACAACATTGCTACTTCTTCCCCTGATTCTTGTAAGATATTATCTAGCAGATAAACGCTTTATTAACGAGAGCATACTTGTGAGATTCTTCCATCGGCAGCAAATATCAAATAGCTTGAGCGGTCGGATCCCCACCCAGGTAGCCAAGCTAATGCTTCACAGAATTCCATGCTCGCGGTATTCAAAAAAAAAAAAACTTCTTTGGGATCGGGCTTTTCTTTTGATTTACAAACGTTATTCGCGTCCAATTGTATCTCGACTTCGCAGCGTGCCAAAACGGCGATGGGTACGCACCCAGCCATGAAAGTATCGTGCCTTCCAAAAGTCTAGACATGGCTATCAACAGAGACAAAACGCTCTTTCCACGCTATCCACTGACGATACGACGATTTCAATCGCAGCGAAGACATCGTCCGTAAAATCATCCACAACCAACAAAAACTTGCCCATTTCCTGTTCCACCAGTTCACGATGCGGTACATACGAGCTGCCACACTGCCGCTTCTAGGCCGGAACTTCCGGACCATGCACTGGCTCTACTACTATGTTATGACTTTTATCATGACGATGCTCCTCTACGTCTGCTCCATTCCGCACGGCAGCGTCTCCTTCGTCAACTGTCTTTACCTGGCGGTCACGGCGCTCACATGCACAGGCATGGCACCTATCAACCTCAGCACGCTCAATACGGCGCAGCAAGTCCTCCTTGGCATCAGCTTTTTCATCGGCAGTGCGCCAACAGTCAGCCTGGCTGTGCTAGAGATCCGCATGCGGGCTTTCCATACCGCATTCGCGGCGAGATCGAAGAAGAAGGGGAGTCAGGAGCAAGGCGGTACTGCTGGTCCAGAGTCCAGGCCTCTTGTGGCGGGCCAAGTTGGTGGCGGTGAGAAGTTCCGCGTGATGGCGTTGAGATCCTGCTAACAAGTGAGCTTAGAATCTTTCCCTGGGAATGATAGCGAGCCGATGAACCATCCTACGCCTGAAGACACCGAGAAGCCGCTCCAGTCGTCCTCCTGGCGCCGTGCGCAGCAGTTTCTAAGCAAAAGAACGGTTGGCCGGAACTGCGCTTTTCATGATCTTACTCGAGAAGAGCAGAAGTCTCTGTTTACCGTCGAGGTACGTAATTATCCGTAAGGAGCCCTGGATTTCTCGAGCAGGCAATGACTGACTGACTTCCCGGTGACCTTCAGTACAAGGCACTTGTTCTTCTTCGATGGATTGTCCTCGGATGTATCATCTTCCCCCAGATTTTTGGTGCTATTTCAGTCGCGGCCTATCTCGCCGTGTATAGGGCAGATACGTGCCGAGAGAACGGTGCAAACCCAATGTAGGGCTGGCTTGATGGCCTTTACAAGGTCTAGCTCACGCGATGGTAGATCCACAGGGATATTCATCAGTGTTGCTGCCTTCAATAATGCCGGAATGTCTCTGCTGGATCAGAGCATGGTCAGTATACTCACCCCCTACTTGTCTTTCTTGTTACCACAGGTCCTGGAGGCGAGCTTCTGACATCATGGAAGGTTCAATTCAAAACGGAAGAATTTCCGCTTATCATACTGAGCGTCTTGATGTGCATTGGAAATACTTTGTATCACCTGTTCTCTTGAGAGTATAGCCCTGGGGCCGCTGACTCTGTCACAGCTGGCCGATCTACCTCCGAATGATCATATCGCTTATGGTTCGTTGTCTCTTTTACCTAAGACGCTTCACAACACGCTTCGAAGACATACGAAACACGCTCAAATATACTCTCAATTACCCCCGCCGTGTATATACCCATATGTTTCCAATGAAGGAAACATGGTATCTGTTCGGCGTGCTTGCTGGTCTGAATTCCGTGGACGTAGGTGACACCAGAGTGCAGGAGCAGGAGATAGCTCGCTCTTGAAGCAATGGAAAACACTACTGACTCTTTGCTATGAAGTTGGTGGCCTTCGAAATTTTCACCCAGCATGATGCCGAAGTGATGGCAGTACCTAGGATCGATAGGATCATCGACGGCGTCTTCCAAGCATTTTCCGTTCGCTGCAGTGGATTTACCATCGTCTCGATCGGTGCCCTGAACAGCGGCCTCCAATCACTCTACGTTGGGATGATGTGAGCTTCTCTCCTGGCTCGCCTTCTATTCACATACCCGACTGACAACTTGACCCCAGGTATGTGTCGGCCTACCCCATCACCATCGTGATGCGGAATTCAAATGTCTACGAAGAGCGCTCTCTGGGTATCTTCAGCGACAATACGCCTCCTGTCAGAGGCGATTCAAGCGGAGAAGAAGGCGACGCACCTCATACTTCATCTAATTCGCGTGAGGACCGACTGTTTTTCGTCAAACAGCAGCGTAAGTCTTCCTTTGATCGTTCCTGCCCATCATACGAGCACCGTCCCAAACTACCCCCATTGCCGCTATGGCGACGCTAAATTCAAGCTCCCCCACAGTCGAAGCATTGCTCGGTTACGATCTCTGGGCTCTCGTTGTCGCCATGACCCTGATTGCGTTCCTCGAGAACCAGAAATACGAGCACGACCCGTTAGGCTATTCCTTGTTCAACATCATCTTCGAGGTCTTCTCGGCCTACGCGACCATCGGCCTGAGCATCGGGACGCCCGGCCAGTACTACGCGCTGTCGGGCTCGTGGACCACGGTCAGCAAGGTCATCGTCATTGGCCTGATGCTCCGCGGTCGACACCGCTCTCTGCCTGTCGATATTGATCGCGCCGTGCAGCTTCCTGGCGAGGACGACGATGGCCGTCACGAAGAGGATGGTGAAGAGGAGCAGCAGCGGGTCCGTGAGCGCGAGGGCGACCGTGAGCAGGTGGAGAAATGATACTTGTAAGAAGAAGGAGGAATGGCATTGGCCCCTTTGGGTTTTTTTTTTTTTTTTTTTTTTTTTTTTTTTTTAACTTTTCTCTCTCTCGAAATCATTTGTTTTCCTTGATGGAAGGGATGGTGGTTAGTCAAAATTAAATCCCGTATATTCGTGGAATTTACCCTTTCCTTATTTACCCCGCCTTGATGGGAAAATGCCGCCGGGCACGCACACTCGCGCAGGCGGCGGAGCTGAGTTCTACGCCGGCACGCTGGGCGTGATGCAGGTTCCGGTGCCACAGCGGCGGCTGCAGAGCGGTCGGTTGGCGCGGCACGTACGTCGACTAGGTAGATGTGCCGCTCTTTGAATTTTGAACTTGAGATTGAAAGGGGAGTTTATATATATATATATATGTGTGTGTGTGTATGTATATGTATATGCATATAAGGAGGTGGGGGGAGGGGAATTCTTAAAAGGATGGAAGTCTGGAGAGGGTTTGATATGGTTTTTTTCTGTGGGGTGAGAGAGGATTGGGAGGTGGTGTCTTTTTTGGTCTTGCTTTTCTAGTGGGGAAGTGAGATTGGGATTGGGAGGTAGGGAGGTGGATGAGGTGAGGTGAGGTGAGGTGAGGTGAGGTATGTATGGAATGGCGTGTATAAGGGAGGGGCTTTTGTCGTTTGGTGCGCTCTCGCTGGGGGAGAAGGGTTGGTGAATATTGGAGGCTGTAAGTAATGATGTTGGTGAAGGTCGTTGTGTTGCTATTGTGTTGATCTTGATCTTGATCTTGATCTTGTATGGGCTATTGATATTGGAAAGGAGGGGAGGGTGAGGGGGGGGTTAAAGGAATAACTGCTCGCGTTGGAATTTTAGAGGGTGTTGTTGAGAGTGAAATGGTAGAGAGATAGCGGCTTGCGTTATGGTTAAGGAGGCTATTATTTAGGATAATTTGTTGCAAAGAAAGCTGCTTGCATTATCCTCAAGGAAGGCTATTACTGAGAATGAAATGCTAGAATGACAGTTGCTTGCATTATATCCAAAGGGGCTAGTACTAAAATTGAAATGCTAAAGAAACAGCTGCTTCTCTCACGCCTTTTCGATCATCATCGGTCGTTAAATCGACTTGTCTAAGCTTATCTCGGTGATAGTAAGAGCCATACCAAGCTTTCTTATGAATATTTTTCAATAGCGCAACGAGCTTCGATCATAAGAAAAACTAATATTATAAAACTCATGCAAGCAATCGTATGTGAATAGTATTTTTATTTTATTGTAATCATTACGCTTCGTTGGAAAAAAATGAATATGTATATATATATTTATTTATAGCTTTCCGTCGCGAGGTTTCAATATTCTCATCCCGCGCCCCGTTTTCAATCCACTTTAGATATACCCAATCGCTTTGCGGATTCAGCTTTTAAGGTAGCTAATCGAAAGGATTAAAGATGCGCGAACGTACGAAGAGTTGTTTACTTTTGATAACGCAGCGTGACCGCCATCTTTCAACAAGCTAGCCAATCAAGCGAGCGTAAGTAAGCGAACTTTGAAAAGCAGCGATAAGTAGTCCGGATAAAAAGTTTATTAATTAGTTTTTTTTTTTTTTTTTTTTGGCGTAATCGTCGGTTACCTTGAATTTAATTTGTAAAAAATCCCGACCTGGCGCAGCCAGGTCGGCACCACCAAGGCGGGACAGTAACGGTATACCACTTATTAAACAACAACTATTATTAAGAAAAATTTTTAAAAAAATCTTTATATGCTTAGAAAATTTTGCTTTACAAACTTGAATTAAAATTATAAAAATCCATTTATTTTTAGTAATCTAATACATTGAAATGTAATGAAAAAATGGTTAAAAACTGTCCCAAATAATTCAAATTTACTTGTTTATTGCAAATATCTTAACAACCACAACCTTAATTTAAAAAAACGTCACATAGATCGAAAACAAAAGATCTTATATATTATATAACTTAAGGTATTAATTATTAAACAAAAGTTAGTAGTGATGCACGTATTCTTTTGATAAGTTTAAATAAAAGTCCGATTTTCGTGTTCCTCGCTTATTCTAATATATACGCGGCAATTCTGATATATACTCAACAGTAAAATCGAAAAAAAATTATTCAAAGTACTATTTTAATTACTTTAACTCAACAAAATTAAGGAATAACAACTTGGAATTAAAATTCGATTAATTGATTAGTATCAAACTCAATACGGTGCATCTTTTGATACAAAAATAATTAATCTATAATTGTTGGTTGATTCTTTATCTATTAAAAAGGAGCAAATTTTACTGTCCCGCCTTGCTGGGTGTCCCGCCTTGGTAGTGCCGACTTGCTACAGCAAGTCGGTCAATTCTTTCGAATTAAAATTTAAGGAAACCGACGATTAGCCGCGCCAAAATACTCTTGATCGAAGATTGATAATACATCAAATCGTAAAGGCGGCAGGGTTATCTCTACGCGGGCGGAGTGATAGATCTATATATGTATGTATGTATGTATATATGTATTTTATGTATTGTGGCTTCATTACCTGCAGCTCAGCTCAACTCTTGATGTGGCTCATTTTACTAGTTTGGAGAAAGCTGCGTCCTGTTTGGGACGTACGAACGTACGGATGTACGCAGTATTGAATCGAACCGTTTTTGAGAGACGGATAAGACATCAAGCATAGAGCTTTTACTGATTGTCAGATCACTCTCACTTCCCTATGCACAGAACACAATTGAGTCGGCATATTAGAATGAGCGGGCGTTGTGGCATTGCGTAAGAGCGAGAGATACACGGAATGCACGAGTAAGATAAAACTGTCTTGTACAGCACCAAGTCGGATAAGAAATGAGATGGCCAGGTCTTGATACTTTGTACATGATTTTTCCTGAGATACCGGTACTACTATATCTAATCAGATCTTATCTTGGAATAAAGTAACTCGAACCCATCTCCGCTAGATCAATTCTCCGAGATTAAAAGAACTACCGGTACTACGAATACGAGCTCACGTGTGCACGCACGTTACATGCACACGCCATACCGATCACGCGAGCTCGTGAAACAATGCGATCCGAACCGTGCGCGGAAGCTGAGACGGGGAGTGGCCAACAGTTTGCTTGCTTCTATTGGCGCACGGCTACTGTAAACAAGCCGCCAAAGCTGGGGAAAGAGCGGAGACGTGGTCCGAGGTCATGCGTGTAGGTACCGGTACCGGTAGAGTACCGAGTTGTGTGACGAACGATAAGTCGGAGGGATATGATATGCGAGGCTGAGAAAGGTTGAAATGGATACAGTATGGATGTACGAAGTATCACAACTGCAATCCATGCGGCGCGGCATTCAATATAGATGTTTATGCCATGGAGCACTCCCGAACCAGAGTCGTAGGTCGGCGTCGGCATTGAGACGACAGATAGATGACCATGCATAACCTTAATTGCGAGAGGGTCGGTCACGAGGTCTTGGTCAAAGAGTTGTATGTGACAATCTAAGGGAATGCAGACAGGTCCGGTCTGGGAGGGACGGGGGGGGGGCTGGAAGTTGACGAAGTTAATGCTGATGTTGATAAGGATCTAATGTAAATATACATGTCGATGTCAATGTATATGTACATGTACATGTAAATGTAAATGTAAATGTAGTAGTACGTGAGGTGGGAGATATCACCGGATGTGGCTCGGCGCGGCTGTACATTCTTCCGTCGATTCCCAAATATCGTATTTCGACAACGGCTGCATCGAACATGACAACTTTTGAACTCGCCTCTGATCACGGCGGATCATCGAGCGAGTTGGCGAGTTGTGTAATTCTATGGAGAGGAAGCCGAGAAATATCTAGATCTAGATCTTGATCTAGAACTGCGTGGGTGCCTGGGCCTAGTGCTGCCCCGATACGGCAAGGTGGCTTGGCTTGGCTTGTCTCCAGATGCGACGACACCAGATCACGAAATCCTCGACGGCGATCACAACATCTGGGACTACAAGCCAATCCATGCCCAACTTCCTACAGGTGAGCAGAGCTGTCGGCGCCGAAGTTTGTATCTTATACTTGATACATGGCATCAGTCCCTTTGCAACTGACTGACTGACTGTCTCTCTCCTCTTCCATCTGCTTCTCCTTCTCCTTCTCATCTTCATCTCCCTCACCGCTACAAGTATTCCCCCTCCAGTACGGATATCTGGGTATATCCTTTTGCTCTGCTCTCTATCTACCTCCTTTTCTATTTCTCTACCCGTTTCTCCGTCACCGTCTACTCTGCCATTCCATTGAGTGGCCATATATACACATATATCAACTCCCGTCCTCTACCGATCCACCTTCATACACAACAGCAACAGCAACAGTAACAGCAATACAACAACAGTCACCAGAGGATACTCAAAATGGCCCCAGACCTCAATTCCGTCCCTCCCTCTCCTCGAAAGGTGCCCGTCGCCTCTGTGGCATCCCCTTCTGCGCCTTCGGCAAAGCAGCCCAACATCCTTTACATCATGGCCGACCAGCTCGCCGCCCCCCTTCTCAAAATGCACAATCCTGCCTCGCAAATCAAGACTCCAAATCTCGACGCCCTCGCTGCCAGTGGTGTCGTCTTCGATTCAGCATACTGTCCTTCGCCTCTCTGCGCCCCCTCCCGCATGTCCATGGTGTCCGGTCAACTCCCCACCAAGATCGGCTCTTACGACAATGCCTGCTCGATTGATTCCGGTATTCCTACGTATGCCCATTATCTGCGCGCGGCGGGCTACGAGACGACGTTAGCGGGTAAGATGCACTTTATTGGGGAGCAGCTGCACGGCTATGAGAGCCGGTTGACCAGCGATATCTATCCTGGGGACTATGGATGGGCCGTCAATTGGGAGGAGCCGGATAGACGCTTGGAGTGGTATCACAATGCAAGTTCGATTGAACAGGCTGGGCCGTGTGTGAGGAGCAACCAGCTGGATTACGATGAGGAGGTCATGTACCGGTATGCCCTATCGTCCCTCTTCACCATTACTTGTAAACGGCTTTTAACGAAGTTCAGATCCAAGCAATTTCTTTATGACCACGTCCGCAAAGGACCAAATACCCGCCCCTTCTGTATGACCGTCTCCCTCACCCACCCCCACGACCCCTACACCATTGAAAAGAAGTACTGGGACATGTACGCGGACGTAGACATCCCCCTACCCGACGTCTCAATCCCGCAAGAAGAGCTAGACACGCACTCTCAGCGCCTGCTCAAAGTCTGCGACCTTTGGGGCAAGAAGTTCACTCCCGATCAGATCAAGCGAGCCAGAGTAAGTTTGTTCTTCATTCTCCATTCCGTATTCTCCATCCACCTCTTTAAGACTATCTACATCACATCCCGTCAAATGCCATACGAGCCCCCGGGTGCCCAGTAAAGCCAGTGCGTCTGTATCTCTTCCAGCCCTACTGACATTTTATGTAGCGTGCGTACTTCGGCGCCGTCAGTTATGTAGATGACTGCATAGGCAAGCTTCTAGAGACTTTGAAGGAATGCCGCTTAGATGAAAACACCATCGTCGTGTTCAGCGGAGACCATGGTGACATGCTGGGAGAGGTGAGTCAGCGGATAAGTGTTTGACCTGTTTGAAGTTTCAACGTGTGGAGATGGCTGACAGTCTGGGTGAAGCGTGGCTTATGGTACAAGATGTCGTATTTCGAGGCGTCAGTCCGCGTTCCTATGATCATCAACCACCCCGGCCTGTTCGCGCCCCACCACGTCTCTGCTAATGTGTCTACGCTGGACATTCTCCCAACGCTTGTCGATCTCGCGCACACTAAACTCTGGTCTGGCTTGCCAATGGACGGTACCTCTCTGCTTCCACATCTGGAGAATAGACCAGGAGGCAGCGATGAGGTGTTCGCCGAGTATTGCGGCGAAGGGACCATCGCGCCAATGATGATGATCCGTCGCGGGGACTGGAAATACATCACCTGCCCTGCGGACGCAGACCAGCTCTACAATCTCTCGTCCGATCCGAAAGAACTCGTCAACCTCGCCTCTCTCCCTCCCAAACACCCCCTGCTAACCCCGGAAGTCTCGTCAGTGCTATCCGCCTTCGTCGCTCAAGCTAAAGCCAAGTGGGACATGGATGCCATCACCGCTTCCGTTCTGCTGTCTCAGAAGCAGAGACGTTTGGTGTGGTCAGCACTCAAGACAGGTGCTTTCACCAGCTGGGACCACAATCCGCTGGATGACGGGCGCGAAAAGTACATCCGCAGCCATATGCATCTGGATGACCTGGAGCTGAAGGCCCGCTACCCGCCTGTGGATTCGCAGGGCAGGGACGTGAGCGCGACTATGCGGGACGGCGGACGGTTTGGGGGCCTGATCGGGCACCAGGCTGGGGCTTATGGGCAGTAACCTGCTCATCGACTAGCTGGGCCCGAAGTAGTGAGTTCCGGGTGGTGGTGGGAAGTAGAGTGCTATTTTTTCTTACGATTCGCGGCGAGCCATCATTTGCATTGCGCTTCCCTCGGTGTCAATTTTGCTGATTGCGATGCGTGGCGCTGCGTTATACCAGTCGATGCGATGTTTATAGCGATTTTGATCATCATTTCACTCTTTTATACTTGCGTTGAATTTATATGCTTTGCGGCGCCGTTTTTGATTGGTGATTTTTTGTCGGTTTTTAGAGCGGAAGAATTGCTTTGGAATTGATTGAAAGCTAGTTCGATAGCGAGCTATATGTGAGACGACATGAAATGAGATGAGACGAGATGAAAAGGGTTGCAGAAATTGGATTATATCATGACGGGATTGGTGATTAAGTAATCGCTAGATCTCATTTAGCCTTTCATATTAACTATTTGAGATGAAGAAGGCTATGTGAAACAACACCAGGCAGGCAAGATTACGACGAGCTTTCCTGCCTGGGATATAAAAAATAAAAAATGAAAAATGAAAAATGAAGAGCTTTAAACGCATCATGAAAAGACTTTTATTTTCATATTAAATCGCCGTCTCGAATTATTTGACGATAGGCAAGATTCGGTAGGCCAGTAATTACCTGGATTACACACATCCCATGATTCATTTAGCGGGTTTGCAATAACTAACCTTTTCTACCGAATGCAACGTCGAAGATTCCCTCTTCTCTTTCCTCTCCCTGGATGTTATGGTAGTATTGGGGTGGTGGTGGTGGTGGTGGTGGTGATTCGACGACGGCCTAGCGTGGGTCAAGTCAAGTCAATTCCAGATCTCATCTTCCGGAAAGAGCACACAAAGAAAAAGAAACCCCCCCCCCCCGCCTCTTCCCGCAAAGTACACATCCCCCGGGCTCGCTCCGCGGGTTGCCTAAATAGTTTACCTAGTTGCTTCTGTCGACCTTTGGTTGTTGGGACCGGCTATCTTTCTTGTTGTTGTTGTTGTTGTTGTTGTTCGCAGAGGGCGCAGAGGGGCGTCGATCGAGAGGAGAGGAGAATGGGTGGGTTGGTTGGTTCGCTTTGTATGGATGGGGTTGGTAGATAGGTAGGTATGAATGTAGCGGTGATGGAATTTTTTCCTGAGATTGGTTGGTGGGGTGAGGCCTGTTTTGGGATTGGGATGTTTGGGTTGATATTTTTTTTATTATTATTTTTTTTTTTTTAAAAAAAAAGAAGAGGAAATTATTGAAAAGAATAAGAGAGAGTTCGACTTTTAAGAGGCGTTTGTTGGATGGGGTTTGTGAGGAAGGTGAGGAGGGAGAAGGAGAAGGAGAAGGAGAAGAAGGAAGACACGAACGGGCAAAGTCATCTGCTGATCCGCTCACGAGTGTGACACCTAAGCGAGTCGATGCACACATCATAACATGAGACACAGATAACAACAGCAAAAAAAAAAAAAAAAGAAAGAAAAAAAGAAAGAGAGAGAGATAATCCCGATTGACGACGGCCTAGGAGTATAGATTCCACTAGGGAGCTTAGACTACCTGATTCGCAACAGGTCTCGAAAGAGAAGCGCTTGATGCGGAATCCAGATGTTATCTACTCTCTCTTGGTGAGGTCTCTGCGGAGGGCCCGGCTTGCTTGCTTACTTACTTACTTACTTACAGTGACGAATGGTATGGTATGGTATGGTACGGTACGGTATGTTATGTATGTTATGTATGTTATGTATTGGAAGAGTAGCTAGCTTCGCTAGGTACTAGGTAGGTGAACAAAGCCAACCAAACCAGAGTAGGTAGGTACGTAGTAACCAGTTCTCCATCTCTCGTAAGAAAGCACGAGCGACGATGATGAATGGAAACACGAATTTGAAATACCCCTGTTCAAATCACCCACTTCCCTACTCCCTTACTCCCGTACTCCCGTCAGCGAACGAGGTTCACTTTGTTTGAATGCGACACACAATTTCTTATGCCCCTTCCAATCATTCTTCTGGCACTTCGCCGAGCAGTACCACACCAGCGAGCACTGGGAGCACTTCAGCAAGTCCGCCCCGTCGGGCCCCTTCGCCTTGCGACAGGCAGCACAAGCTCTCTCCCCGCCTCGATTCGAGACGATATCGAACGGGTTGAGGGAGTGCTCGACGTACGGCACAGAGAAGTTGGGCGAGATGGCGACGCGACAGGCGTGCTTCTGAGCCAGCTCCCAGTGCGCGAGGCCCGTGACGAAATGATCGGGGAAGACGCCGCAGCCGCACGAGCAGAGCACTGGCGCGCCGGGAATGTCGCTTGAGAGCGGGATGCGGCCGGCGGCGGCGTACTCGCACGAGGGCAGGTGGAGCCACTCGCGGCAGCGCTCGGCCCAGACGGGGAGCATCTCCTTCCAGAGCGCGAGCTCGGCGTTGTCGGCCTTGATGTTGCAGCGCGGCACCAGGGAGATGGCGGCCAGGAAGGGGGCGAGCGCGGGCAGGATGACGTGCGTCAGGGGCAGGATGGCGGCGTCCAGGACGATGGTGTGGTTGGCGATGTCGAGGAGCATGCGCGAGACGAACACGAGGATGTGAATGCCGCCCTGCGTAGCGTGGTTGATGGCGAAGATCTTGACCTTCGGGCCGCCCTCGCCGTAGGAGTTGAGGAATATGGAGAAGAGCGAGTCCTTGAATCTCGTGCGGAGGTCGGTTTTGGCTGGGAACTTGGGATCCATCGACTCTTCTCGCAGGCGGTGCTCGCGCGCCGAGAGTTGAATGGTTATGTGGCTGTCGAGCCAGGTCAGCTGCTTGGGCTGGGAGACGTCGATGATGGGGAGGCGCTTGAGGTGCACGCAAGGCATGTTGCAGAGAATGGGTTTGCCATCCTTCAAGCCCAGTGGGTACATGAATTCGGGAAAGCCCTGTCCGTGAACATGATCCGCCAGAGGGACGACAACCTCGACCCACGAGGATTTACGTGCGATTCTGACTTTGTTCAGATGACCCAGGACTGGGACTGGGAATACTACCTGGTGGGATCCACCCGCCTTTCCCACGGAGACGACAATGGAGCAGGGGGAGATCTGATGCGACTTGACCTCGGCACCATCTGCGAGGAGAGGTTTCGTCGCCGAAGCCCGGAACTCCAGTCGAGCTGTGAAGCCGGAAATGCGGGCCTCCGACTGCTCAACATTGGCTCTGAGAGTCAGTTTCAATGGACTGTCATCCGGTTCCTCCTTCGCGAACACCTGTTCCAGAGGTCCAACGGACGGATAGCTGTCGAGGTGAGGGGGGAATTTGGTGATTTTGACATTTTTCTCATCCAGAAGTCTGGAAACGAAAATGTCCATCTCCATTCCCAGGTGCTTGGAAAATGTCATTGTACTCCGAACCGTGCTCATGATGCCAAATTTGACAAGGGTATTAGACGGTTCGACCAGGACATTCCAAGATGGGACAGTGAACGAAACAAGCAATGGAGACTCGCCATTCCAACCAAGGGGGTCCTCATCCACGATGACTCGGAAATCCTCATCAGTCTTCGAGCCAGCTGTACGTACCTTCCCAAAGGCCAGATGGACGTCAACGAATATGTTCTGCCAGGCTCGTGGCGAGAATATGCTGGTGGCAGATTGCACGATGCCGTTTACCAGAGGTGTTCCGAGCTGGTTTCGGGGTATCCTCTTGAAGATGCCAACTTTCGATCGCGGAATCACCAAGTTGATACAGACAGCAGGTGGTATCTTCGCCCACTGCGCCAGCCCGCCGAGGGCGCGACCGGGAGCTGAGAGCGCGTCGTAGCCAGGGTCAAAGTTCGGCATGCGGAAAACGTCGAGCAGATGCATTTGCACGTAGAGCTCCTGGAGGTAGCTACCGCCCGTCAGGATGGACTCGTCAAGCTTAATCCTCTGAGTAAGTTGGTCGACCATCGCGTACCAGTCCGTGTCCACTCGGGACTTGAGGAGCTTCAGGAAGGCCGCGAGGCTTCCGCGGTGGTACATTGGAGCAGAGTCGTTGCGTATCTTCCTGACGCTGATGTCTGCCATCTTCTTGGCCATGTCTTCACACTCGAACATGCCTAGGTAGACACGGTGGAGCAGGCACGCCAGCTCTCCGGCATCGAACTGCAGCTTCTTCTCCACGCCGGCGGAGATATTCGTAGGGAAGAAGGCCTTCCATGGCATACGACAATACATCTGACCTTGACTGGCATTATCGGCATCATGCTTTGGCTTCAGGAGCTTGGAGGATTTTTCCGTGATCGCTCCTTCCGTATTCGATACAGCTGTGGCGTTGGTCCAGTACTCGACCGGGGTCAATCCCAGAAGGATGGAGACGGTGGGAAACGAGCCACATAAGATCCCGTTGATCAAGTTCTCCTGGGTCTTCTCTCTTGCCACGAGGGATTCGGTGTAGAGAGTAGACGAAGCCTGGCGCTTCAGAAGTGGCGATGCAGCAACCAGGACGTTGAGGGGGCCGAGGTGATCGACGAGATTAGAGGTTTCAATGACATCGAAGCAGAGAGGTGCGCTCCCAGAACCGTATCCCTCCCCGTCGAGAACGAGTGTCTGAACAGTATACTTGTTTCTGTACCAGTGAATTTGGCTATTGCCTTCAGCTCGTTGGTGCTGAAGAGAATAGCAGAGCGCAATGACATCACCAACGCAGAATCGCAGTGTCAGGTGTTGAGACCGCTCTCGAAACTTCTCAGACCAGGCCCGGAAGCTGTTGCGGGCAGCGTCAGTGACTTTGTCGGAGTCGGTTCGACCTGTTGCCGCAGGAGCCAGAGGCGAGCCCTTAGTAAGTGGTACATATGCGGTAGCCAGAGGGAAGCCCAGGTGAGGATCAGTCCCGTAGTGAAGTGAGAACGTGTCCCTGTCCAATCGTGCGAAGGTCGGATTGGCATTTCGATCTCCGGCCAGCTTTGAAGGATTCCGATCTGTACTGCCGTGTTCCCAGAAATGGTCCCAGGCATCGCACGCGCCAGGGAACGCTTCCATGGTGGCTGGAGCCGCAGATCGCATGCCGGTCGTGTTACGTTGACCGTTCGCAGAGGCCTCTCTGATCTTCTCCTTCACCTCCATGATCTCACGTTCGAAGCGTGTCTCGTACTGTTTCTGTTGGTTCTTCGTCCTATCTGAAATAGCATATGCAGCCCAGCGCTCCTTGACCAGGTCGAGAGACCCTTGGTCGCAGAACTTGAGGAGCTTGCCATATTTCCCAGCGTGCCATGTGTCCAGATTCTCAGAAAGCGCAAGCAACTTGGCGCATTGACTTTGCAGTGTTTTGATTGCCTGGGCGTCGATGAACAAGTGGTAGTAGATCTGCCAGATGATCGAGTCGCGCTCCTGGCCTGAATCATCGATCAGGAGGGTGAAGAGAAGGATATTGCGTGCTAGCTCTAATGTTAGGGACAGTCTTCCATGATACAAAGGAAGGGGGTGGGGGGGGGGGGGGGTTCATACCGATGATTGCGCTTTCAACGTCACAGCAAGTGATGTCTAAATTTCGGGGAGCTTGTAATCATCAGTTCGTGCTAGGAGTGACGGGCAGAGGGTAACTCACTGGGAGACGCGTCGGCATACGTAGTAAAGAGGATGTTACGAACATCTCCACAACCAAGTAGTAGAATATCAGCATTCTCCTCCAATGGGTAGTCTTGGGTCAAGCAAACAGCAGGCGTATTGCCGATCGGGTAGAAGAAGGAAACCACGTTGATAACTGTCGGATGCGACATCTTGACGTGCAAAGCCGTAGCTCTTCGATTAGCAACTCGGAGGTACTTCCCCACCTCCGGGGATGCGAGTGTTGTCGAGTTGTGTGGTGCAGAAGTGAAAGTTGGGGGTTGAAATCTGGAGGTTGTCGATGGTTGGACGTTCGAAGATATAGAGTCGAAAAGTGAAAGGTGGAAGGTGAAAGCCAAACTATTATCCACTCCCTTCCTTTATCCTTACAAGGCACCCGTTTTGGCAAGTCTGTATGCCATTCACCAGCCTTAAAAAAACAAGGACCCTTTCGAACTTCCGACTTCAGCTTCCAGCAAAACCTTCTACAACCCTCTTCTCTCAAAAAAGGCATCAATCAAACCATCAAAAAAGCGAATCATCAGGCCCCGGAACGCTGCAGATATCCTTATTCTTTATAAGATAAAACCCACAGTAGTACCATCCCTTTCTCTAATCCATCCTACCAACTACCTTCTACTTTTCAAGTTTTCTCCCGTCGCCGGTCGTCGACAAGTAACACCGCCAAGACTTGTTTACTTACTTACCTATTTATATACAGAGATATCCCCTCAAAGAATTCCGTCCTGTCAACGAAGAAGACAGATAGAACATCATCGAACGCTTATTCATCAAGTGCCAACACTGTCGTCTGCCTTGATCGTCACCTCGCCCACCTACCTCCCTACCTACCTACCTATCTACTACCTAGCGGGGTCACGATTCTATACCCACGCGAAATACCTCCCACAACCCTTCAACCTCATACCCAGCCAGTCTTACACTGTTCAGAGAGTCCTCAATCAAATCAATCAATGAACACGCAACCAGCCAGCCAGCCCACCTCTTCAAAGAGAATTTCCCTTCACCAACGATTCCGCACCTCCTTCCTTATCTGGATAACCACCACCACGCCAACAAAACCTATACCGAACAGGCACACAGCCTAAAAACGCCAAAAGAATTTCTGTCAAAGGGGGAACATATATAAGAGATAGAGATAGAGATAGAAGAAAAGGATACAACCTACAATATCCCGCCTTCGAAAAGCGCTCTGCGTGCACACACACACACATACACACACTGATCTAACTTCGATCCGACCTCGAATTCCATTACCATCGACACCGACAAACCTCACCCTACCACCGCTAACCTCAGACTCAGCCACGACTCCTCTCCTCCAGCGACTCTAACAACGCTACGCATGCAAGCTCCCGAGCTAGATCACTCCCCACCTTCCTTACTTTACTCACATCCTCAACCTCTCTTTCCTCCATAACAGAGCTATAACTCCCTCCCCCCTCGTGTAATCCATCCCTCCATCCCTTCTATAAGAAGAAAAGAAGGACGCGCAGTCCATAGAATAGCAGCACCACCCACCGTACAAGACAATACGATCTCAGAGATGCTTTCTCCGGCTTCCTGAGACGTACGTAACAACTCCTTAGCTAAGCACAGCACAGCATAACAAGCACGTCGGCGTACCATGTAGGAGGTCGTAAGGCGCAGGCTGCTACCCGCCTGGGGGTAGTAAGCACGACGATAACAGCAATAACAACAACGTCGCGTAAGCACCCTGACCGGACCGCGCCCCCTACAGCCCCCTACTTGGCGCAAGGAAGGAATTCTTGACCCGTCGATTCGATCAGATTATATTGCTTACTTGACAAGAGTTTTCCGTAATGAGGAGTTGGCATTATCTTGTAAACAGCAATGGCAGCAGCAGCAGCAGCAGCAGCAGCAGCATCTGCAAAAGCATAACGAAAGGAAAATCATGAATTCCATGCCCGTGTGTGCAGAGAGTCTTTAGCCAGTCGTGTGAAAAAGACGCGCTAGGCGGCTTGTTTTCCGCAGCCCACGCGGGAGAGACAAAAAAAAAAGATAAAAAAAGAGCAACCGTTATACGCATCAATCCTTTTTCTCCATCCTGCAGCTCCATCAATGCCCCTTAATCCTACAAAAACCAGCCGGCAAAGTCAAGTCAAGCGCACACACGTGAAACCATTCAATCTCCCATAATCTCGTCCTCGTCTTCATCCTCTTCCGCACCGCCGGCCGCATCGCTGTTGCCGTTGGCTTCGACGGGGTCTTCGGGGTCGTCTTCCAAGAGCTCGCGCCGACGCAGATCCTCGATTGTCCCTTCTTCGGGTTGTGCATCTGCGAAGGGGTCTTCCTCTTCCTCCTCGTCTTCCTCGACGAATTCTTTGCTCAGCGTACCTTTCTTTGCGTCACTCGCCGCCGGCTTTGCCTTGCTCGGATGACCCTTCTTAGCCTTCGGCTTCGGCTCGTCAATATATGTCAAGATTTCCTTGAAATTTGGACCTAGGTTGGCTTTGTTCCGAAGGAGGCGCGAACGCAGTTTTCCTTTCAACTTGCCTTGGTCGTCGATAACTCTGGCGCGGATAGCCATGACAAGCTTGCCTGTCAGTTCGCAGAGGTCCTTCTCGGCTGATAGTGCCTCAGCTCGTCGCTCGAGATCTGTAACTTCCTCTTCCTCTTCTTCGGTCTCGTCATCGACATCTTCCGGATCCTCGTCGTCGCCAGGCGCGGCTAGTCTCTTCTTGGACTTCTTGGCAAATTGCTTCTCCAACGAATCGAAGATGGCAACTAGCTCGTGATGGACTTCAGGTGAGATATGTTGAAAAAGTGTCAGGTAATGTTGCTCATCGTTGTCCGGGTCGGCCTTCTCAGGGATCTCGATCGACCTGACCGTAGCGAACAGAATGTGAGCATCGAGAAGGGAGCCAGCTCCGACCAAACGAACTAGATCGAGAGTTGATCGGGAGGAAAAAGCAGCAGTCAGATTGTTGATGTATATGTCTCGCCACTCTCGTAGATTATCAATCTCGATGTCAGGAACCTCGTCGCCGCCAGTAAGTGCGTTGGATAATGCTCGTATCTTCCACATGAAGAAGAACATGGCCGACTTGATGGCAGATAAAACAATCTCATCCTCTTGAGAGTCAATCTCCTCGTCTTCATTGGGAGCCTCAAAGACACCTCTGGCAATGATATCAAGGAGAATGACTATGGGCAATGGCTCGCTACTCGTCGTCGAAGGCTCTTCCAAGACTTCCACTGAGGTGGCTATGGTGGATAGCTGCTCAAGTCGCGCAAGGTTATGGGATAGCTCGGTCAGTAGTCTATCCGAGAGACTCCCTCGAACAGTAACATCGCCTGCCTTGTTGATCTTTCTCAGAGAATTCGCGGTGTCGTCCCAGAGCGAGAGGATCTTGCTTTCGGCGATCTCCTCGAGCTCCTCGTGTCCTCGGGCATGGAGGAAAGCAGCAACTGCTTCGCTCAGGACACCCTTGTCCGCATGTCCATTGAACTGAGCGCTGATCTCGTCAAGCATCTGGGAGTAGGCAGTGGTGTTTTGTCGTAACTCTTGGAAGACGCTCAGATCCAAAACATGTTCTAGACGGAGAACAATTGTCACCGTCCTAGGATCTGCTCCGTATTTCTTGAGTAAGCGTGGAATGAGACCAGCTAGCCGGCGAGCAGCATTCTCCTTTTCTTCTTTGGCCTCCGCCTTTGCGGTGTTGCTCCTGACTTTTGCCTTCTGGTCAATGTGGGCCAAGCCGACTTTGACCACGGCGTTCAGAATCTCCAAGAGAACGCGTTCCTCCTGCTCACTAGGCTTGAAGCTGGCTCTAATAGTATTTTCGGCTTCGTTGTCGGTGTCCGCAGATGTATGGTCATACAATAGATAGCCTGCCAGTACCTCCCAGTCTTTGAGAACGGGAATCCTTTCGTAAAGAGCCTGCGCCGCAAGAGTGAACCTCGACTCCAAGCCGTGGATGTCTATGAGATCGAGTGAAAGCTGATCGGGCATAGAGTCTTCGTCTTGGTTATCGTAACTCAGTAGACTTTCGACAAGACATTTTAACCTGATCCAACCGGCGCGAGGTGTATCGTACTCTTCATCATCATCGGTGGCCAACAGATCCTCGATTGCTTCCTCTCCTCCAAGCTCCTCCACCTTAGAATCGTAGAAATCATTGATGTTCTCGGCGAAAAATCCCACAATTGCATTTCGGACTTTAGGCTCGGAATCGAATATCAATTTTCCAACAGTATCAATATCGTTGGGCTCCAACATGCCAGCTTGTCGGATCAAATCCATCAATTCAACCACAGCAGCTCTCACGTCAGGTTCAGAATCCCGGGTAGCCATTTCAATGATGCGAGGCCGAAATCGCTCGATGAAATGACGCATGCCCCCGGTATTCAGATGCAACATGAGTTTCTGAAGCTGCTTAACTACTTCCAGTCGCATGGCTGCGGAAGTATCAGAGAGCGTCCAGCCCATATAACGCAAGTATGCGCCGTCAAAGAAGACGCTGGAGAGTGTAAGCATCCATGTCCCCATTGCCTCGGCACATTCAATCCGAATGTTCGGGTCCACATCACGATATCTGTGGGTGTAAACTGAGTCAAAAAGCCTCGATATGCGGAGCTCGACGAATTCCTTGTTGTCCCTGTTGGTCTGCACTCTTCGCTGAAAGTCGGCGAGTCTGGCCTTGTTTGCTCCCTTCTTTTTGCTCTCAGTTTCGAGCTGACGTTGAACTTGTGCTGCAATTGTAGATTCACCATCCGCTATTCTACACATAGCAGTGACCATCGTAAGAGCGACAAGGGTGGCGGTATGCCGGAATGGTCTAAGTGCCGATGAAGAAAGGCTGGAAATCCACATGTCGATATTCTCGATCAGAGGTTTCTCGCGGTATAGAATTCCAGTAAAATGCATCGTTTCAACCAGCTTGTCGAAGAAGTCGATTAGGCGCTCTCGGAATACAATGCCACTTCTTGCCTTTGATGTGAGTGGATAAGTAGTGATATTGTTCTAGAGATCATCAGCACAGCAGATTACCACAGCATGATGGGCACACGAACAGCTTGGTGTTCTACTTGAATATCCTCTAGCTTGCCTGCCACATTGTCATCGTCGCCAATGTCATCGCTTGAGATTTCTACTGCACAACCAGCGCTTCGCAAGACCATATTGACCAGGTCGGCCAGGGCGTCAAGGTTGTCCGCGTCGTAGTTGGCCAGCCATCGCGTTACAACATTCTCTGTAGCATCACCGCTTGTGAAGACATCCGCTGTGCGACGGTTAGCAAGACCCCGTCATAAAATGACTGCGAAAGCGCGTACCGTATAGCCCCTCTGCATCTTCATCCGCGATCGCAACGCGCTTAGCGGCGGACTTCTTCGGACGGGCAGGGAGCTTGACTGCGAGAGGGTCTTCGCGAAGCGCATAGCCGTTGACTTTTGGCTTCTTCGCAGCTGGCTTTCTAGATTTGGCCTTGGGCTTCTTTGCCCTCTTCCGAGTATCTCGTAATTCCTCCTCTGCAGCGCTCTCCACCTCGTCGGGGCTGTCTTCCTCCGATTCGTCTATGTCCGACGCGTCTACCTCTCCATCTCCCTCTCCATCCTCCTCCTCTTCCTCCTCCTCCTCTCTCTTTCTCTTCGCGTTTGCAGATGCGGATTGCGACGAGGGTAAATTGGGGACAAACTTTTCGGGGACCTTGACGGCGCGTCCCGACCTGCGCCGGCTTCCTAACGCGATAGAAGAGCTCGCGGCGTCGTTGTTGGAGATATCCATGAGGTGCGCACGTTGGGTTCTCATTGACGCATGCAATGCGACCGTGATGTAGATGCTGGTGAGCAGGTCGGATGTTGTGGCGCGTCGAAGTGGTGGTGGTAGAGGTGGTAGTGGGGGGGGGGGCGCGTGAGATTGAAAGTCGCGACCTGAAGGTAGCAGCCAGACGAAAAAGTATTTCTGCCTCAGGCACTCATGAATCATTCTATATATTTCAGCTTTCACCTTTCCTTGGGTTCTTCACGCCAGTTATTCCTCCGCAACACGATCACCTCAGGCACTTTACACGAGACATGAATTTGTCGATTGTTTTAGTTGCTACGTCTATCAAAATTATGTCTAGATGATCATCCCCCCGGACTCTCTCCGCCTCCCTGCTTCTACCACCCGAACATCAATTCCCCATGGCCATACATCGATATAGCCTCATCTATAGTCTCTCATGCAATGAACTCTCCCTTTCCCAAATCCACCTCGGCTCCAGGCGAGGGATGTCTCGTTGTGCATCTTCTTCCTCAAAAGATATCCGGCCTCTCCACCATCTCCTTTCAGTATCCATTAAAACTCATATCACCGTCGCCCTCCGCAGACCAGAGGAGCGTCCTGGTCTTTCTCTTGACCTACGGAGGTGGCCTCGTAGGCGGTGACCAGGTCCATCTCGTGATCGACGTGAGACCTGAAGCGCGACTTAGCATTGTCACTCAAGGTCATACGAAGATCTTCAAGTGTCCATCTCGCGATGTCGTTACCCGTCAGCAGCTCGAGGTAACCATCGGGACCGGCGCCGCTGTTTGTTTGCTTCCGGATCCCGTACAGCCCTTCGAGAGCAGTGTTTACGAGCAATCTCAGAAATTCTGCATCGCGGAGGGTGGCAATCTCTGCCTTCTCGACTGGGTATCCGAAGGCCGCACTGCCCGAGGAGAAGATTGGGATTTAGGAGCATGGAGTGGCAGAAACGAGGTCTGGACGATGGGCACTGATCAGAAGAAACCTCGACTTTTGCTGAGAGACAATGTCATCTTGGAGGGCGATGCTCCAGGCGCAGTCGAGAAGCATTTGAGGAAGAAAATGCATGCTCTGGGAATCTTCGGGACTCTAATACTTCGAGGTCCCCTAATGGAATCTCTGGCAGACTTCTTCCTCTCCGAGTTCTCGGCACTCCCCAGGATCGGTGCCAGGGACTTCAGATCTCAGGAAAAGGTCGATAGAGACAGTGGAGCAATCATGTCGAAGCACGAATCCTGGAGAGCATCACGATTAATGCAGGAGATGAGTGACGGTGTGCTTTGGTCGGCTGCTAGGATCCGAGGATGTACAGTCATCAAATTTGGCGCCCGGACAGTGGAAGGTGGGCGTAATTGGATCGGAAGTGTGATAAAGGAAGAAGGGTCGATACCAGAAGAATTTGGGGATGATTCGACGATGTGCGTTCGTTGACGCTAGTGCGTCTCTTCCCAGACCGGCATACTGCAACATGTAATGTTTGGTCCCCTGGTCTACGGGATGTTACGATTCAAGCATGGACAAAATTTGCCGAATTTCAAGCCTTTCAAGAAATCAGCAACCCAGGAGCCCCTTAGCCTTCAGATGTCAATCCTTGCTTGACAGTCCCTATGCTTTTTGAGCCTCTCCTGTCTAGCTACTGGAAAATACGCCGTGCTGTCTTATTCCCCAACTTTTGACACGCGCTGCCCAATATTCACTATACGACTGAAGTCTCCTCCGGAGCGAAAAACCAGTTGATAAGAAATTGTTGCAATCGCCTCTGCCGAGGAAGCCTGTTAATTTCTACTTCAATACCTACTTCATCCATTGGCGCTCCTTGAGCGGCAGCACGGGCCACTGGGACCGGCTGTACCGGCAGGTGCTCGACAACCTCAAGCCCGGCGCCTGGCTTGAAATGCAGGAGTACGACGCATGGGTCTAAACGAACGACGCCTCTCCCTGCCCGTATACGCAGGACTGGTGCGAGACGCTGAACCGCGTTCGGCAAGCGCCTGAACGTCGGCCGCCACCACCAGCGCTGGATGCAGGAGGCCGGCTTCGTCGAAATTCGGGAGAAGGTCGTCAAGGTCCCCCTGGGCCCATGGACCCGCGACCCGGCAGCTGGGCCGCTTCGAGCGCTGCCACATGAGCGAGAGCGTCGAGGCGCGCAGCATGGCGCTCTACACGTCCGAGGATGCCCAGATCATGTTTGCGAGGGTGCGGTCCGAGTTTAACGATAAGAGCTTGCATCTATAGACTGCCTACAGGTTTCTCCAGGGCCGGAGGTCCAAGGTGTAGGAGAGATAGTCTCATGTACCGTATGTATGTAAATATATAAGTCAGTGCATGAAAGATCCTGGAACACGTTACATTTCTCTTTTCTTTTTGCTCTCTCTCTCTCTC